AAAAAAGTACAAGGGGTCCCACTCGAGGATTGGATGGGGAATGAAACGACTGGAAACGGAATTCGCATGCTCTGTCATTTCTGGAAACGATCTTCCGTACTCACTGCTACGGTCCCCCATCGGATCACTCTGACGGAGACACGGCTACAAAAAGATGCCCTTATTACTCTGAACGGTTAGACGTCGCTATCACTGCCAGACAGTTCGACAAGTAGGCGGCTGCCGGCTGGTCCAGGTCGGTTTCTTGGCTCTGCCTGCTTTTGCTCGCAGGTTTCGTCGGCGCCTTTTTTCAGTGCAGCCTTCCACCAAAAAGCTTGCGTTGGGTTAATTATGGACAGTAATAATACTCTAATTTGGGCTTGATTGGTCTATTTTTAATATTTTAATTATAGTTAAATGATATATTTTTAATTAAATTAAAAAAAAATTAATTAAGATACATATAAATTGAATAGAACACTTTGATCGTTCAGCTAAAAAAAAAAATAATTATCAATTTATAACTACAGTAAGATAGTTATTGAATTGTATTAGATTTATTAATAAATTATTTCTTTAACAAACATGTTTTATCTTATATCATATTGTAGTCGCAACAGTATACTAAGACCAATAAACACATTCGAAGCATATATCAAATGATAATTTTATGTGACAGTGTTAATGTAATATCACTGTTATAAAATATTTATTCCCAATTATAGTAATAAAATATTACTTTTTATTAATTTAATTAATTTTATTAGTTAATATCAAAATCACAAACAAATCAATACAACATCTATGCCAATGAAATAAATTTCGGAGTGGTAATAATAGTGTATGTAGTTTAATTTTTCATTAATAAATAAATAAGTGTACTATAAAATTTAATAACCACATTATCTATAAAATATATAATGACCTCAATATAAAGAAGTAATTTTTTTTATATAAAAATAAAGTTCAACTTATTTATTATTTATTTTTTTTATTAAACAATTACCTCAAATAACACTGTTAAAATAATGTAACATATTTATTCTCTATTTTGGACATATAATGTTTGTGTGTGGGCACAACTGGACGGTTGCGCTTTGAAGATCAAATGGGTTATTTGGGGGGCGTATTGGAATCTGTGCGATCGGTTCTTTCGGCGAGGTCTATTTGTCTGGGGGTTTTAATGGAGGCGGTCTATTAATATGTTCTTAGTAATAATTTCGTGTCTGACACTCTGTAATTTGTAATGTAAAATGAATTGAATTTGAATCAAAATTAAATTTTAATTAATTAAAATTTGAATTTGATTTCAAAATATCAATCTAAATATGATATGATAATTTAATAAATTTTATTTTTATGGTTCAAATTAGTTAACAATTCAAATATTTGATTCGAAAATCATATATGAAAAGCTTAATTAACTAAATTTTAACTAATTATACCTAAATATCCATTATTTTTTAAAAGAAATAATCACTTAATTTCTTTAATATTTAAGTAAAAATATATAAATAATTATGATCAAATCATAGTCGGATTGGATATGTGTATATCTAAATTCGAATTTGTGAAATATAAGATATCGAATTATTAGTAAAAAATATAAATCTATATCGGATTCAAATTCAAATTCAATTTATTAACAGACCTACCTATAATATCAATAATTGAATATTAAGCGTGTAATATTTGTATTTAAACAGATAAAAAAATAATAAAATGTAGAGATAAAAATGTATGTGAGGATTAATGAGGTTATTTGGTATTAATGAGCGTGTTAGCTGAGTTATCTAATTTTAGGGGTTGTGTTGAGAAATATTTTGAAATAAATTTTATGACATTGGATCACAATAGATGAGAAGAGGATCAATCTTGACATTGTTTTATAAATTAATAATTTAACTACACTCAAACCACTAAAATTTGTTAATGAATTAGATAGACCCCTCATATTTGACAAATTATACTAAAAGCCCTTGAAGTGTGTGCGTGAATAATATATATTACCCTTGTCGTCAAGTTCCGTTAAACATACCGTTAATATTTGATGATATCAACATTCCCTTTATATAAAATTTTCAAATTATCCCAGCACCATTTCAATAAAAAATCTATAAAATTAATAATTTTTAATTATCAATTAAATCCTAAATACAATTGATTCTTTCAATAAAATAAGCTCTCTCTCTCTCTCTTTCCATGTCCCTTGTCATCTCACTTTTTTACTCTGCCTTCAACTCTCTCATAGCAAAGCCACAGCCATCGCCACCGCCACCGCCAAATCCATTCTCTCTTTCTACCACAGCCTCGCCAGACCAAAGCCACAACCAACGCCAACACCATCACATGTGTGGTTTTTCCTCCTCTCTCTCTGCTACACCCAAACCCAAACATAGATCCCAAAATCCCTTCGTCATGGGTTGGGGCTCTCATTCGGGCTTAAGGGAGAAGGGGGTGGGCTGTAGCAAAGTTGGGGGATGAGGAATTGGGATGGAAGCTGAGATGTGGAATGGGCTATAAAGAAACAGAGGAAGAAGAGGGGGAGACGGTGAAAGTGGAGAGATAAAAGGGGTGGGAGAGATATTTTTATCAAAGTTCAGATATGAGTTTGGGTTCAAAATTGGGTTTTAATATCGGGTGGCTGATAGTTGGGTTTATTTTATTTGGTTTGTTAAAAAGGGTAAAATGGACATTTTATAACACCCGTTAGGTCCATTTGTCTTCTGTTATTAATAGGAGGTTGTAGTAATATTTGTCAAAAGTTGGGGGCAGAATTATTTGATTAAGTAACAAATTTCAAGAGTTTAAGTGTGATTTACCTCGGTGGCTCCTCTGTTGGACTTGGACTGATCATTGGCATATCGACTCCGACATTAGCTATTTCTTCATGCCAAATCCGTAACTGTACGGTCCCATCTCAAATGTCGGGTTTGACCTTCTCTGTGTTTTTTATTTTTTTTTATATATGTAAAATTTGTACAATGTGCAAAATTATCGTGTATAATAAACCATGACAAAAGCAAATAATATGTAGTTCCACACATTTACCTTAAAATGGACTAGAAAAAGGTTACTAACATGGTGGGTAAAGTTTGAATATTAAAAAAAATAAAGTCCGAATGTTTAAAAAAACAATTCAACACCTTTTTTTTTCGGTGCGCAAAATATATACAACTCTATATATTCACAAAAGATAGCATTGTATTTTTGTATCACATAGCTATCCTAAAGGAAGCCTCACCACACTTACATCGGAGTTGAAACCAAGGTGGTCACACAGTATTCCCTAGGCGTTGAATAGTAGGTTAGTCCAACTGAATTGTTGTAATTGTGGACACCCGAACAGAATATTAAGTAAAAAAATTCAAATTCTTACTTAATAGACCAATTACTGGATGACAATAAACAACATAGTAGTAGCATGTAAACTCCACATCACCATATTTTTTAGTGTAACAGCTATGATAAGCATCCACTAAGCCTCTTGAATTGAATGCATTCAAAAGACTAGCATCACATGAGGGTTTTTGACCAGAATGGATGAACCTTGGGTGAGTCGACAGAGACACTGGCCCCCTAACCCACACTTGAAAAATTATATTGGTATATTCCTCTTACCAGTGGAATGCAATTCCTCTAAATTAGTTTAAAACTTGAAACGGATGATTCAATTCTTAGATGCACCCATTGTTTTTAGAATAATATGAAGGAAAAATTATAAATAAGTATTTTTTTTCTATAAAATATTTATGAAGTCCAATCATTTTTGTTTTATATCAATGAAGTCCTATTTTTAATATTTTATTTCAATTAAGTCTTAATTTCATTATATTCTAATTTTATCCTTACCTTTAAATTCTTTTATTCTTTTTGCATCCTTAATATCAATTAATAGAATATTGTAGATTCTACACCAATATTAATTTAAGCTAATTCTTACTAAAATCATATTCTATTAGTTTATATTGAATTTAAAATGATTAAGGTAGGAATTTATATTTAGTTGTTGTGTTTGAATTGATATCGACATTAAAATAGAATTATTGGTATAGTTTTTTTAGCCTTTCTTATTTATTAAGGAATTGGTAAATATTGTCTTCATTTTTAAGATTAGGTACCCTAACAAGATAAAAAAAAAAAGAAAATGTGAGCTTTTTTTTGGGTCTAATCATGAAGTTTATGTTAGTTGATTTTTTTTATAGAGTTTCGATGTTAATTTTGTAAGTAAGGATTTTTTGTTCTCTTAATTGGTTTTAAGAATACAAAAGAATGAAATGGTTTTAGTAATTAAAGGGTAATGATAGAATTAGAATATAATGAAATTTAGGACTTAAATTGAAATAAAATATCAAGAATAAGACTTCATTGATATAAAACAATAATGATAAGACTTAGTAAATTTTTGTGATAAAAAGTAATATTTACCGATAATTTTTCCTAATATCAAATTCGATTGACGCACGTGGTCTAATTAGATAAAATTGTGAACTAATAGCGATATTTTTAGAGATCTAATTCATTGAAGTCATTAAATTAATTGTGAATTTCAAAATTGGTTTGAATCCACGTTCAATCAAACGGCTGCAATTAATTAGGCTCTTAGTTTAAGTCTAGAAATAAGATTCAAATATTATTTTTCCAACTATTTAACATTACAAAAAAAATTTATTATCCCGAAAAACATTAATGCAGCATGGAATAACAATAGACAATGACAAGGTCATAATGGTCATTTCACTTGTGAGGGTTGCAGTAAAGCAAATCTCTGCAGTACTTTTGTCCTCTGATCGTCTCTATCACTGTTAAAGCCAAACATGCTCTTAGTCTCATCCTCTCCCTACCCATAACATTCCCTCAGCCGCTCTTCACAGAGTCTTCACATGCTGCAATCTCTCTCTCTCTCTCTCTCTCTGAGTCTCAGACACACAAACACGCAAGCTCACACATCTCAGCTTCTTCAAAACCCTCTTGACCTCCATCTGGATAACCCTCTCCAAACCTCTCCAGGACTGCCTCCAATGGCTCTCTCTAGGTCAACTTCTACTCTGTCTCTTACCTCCTTCTTCTTACTCTTAACCCTTCTGTCCACCTCCACTCTCGTCATTTCACAACCAGCACTCAACTCGGCCGAGCAAGAATCGGTCTACCAAATTCTCGAGTCCATCAACTCAGCTATCCCATGGCGATCTCTCTACCCCGATGATCTCTGTATCTCCGCCCCACACGGCGTTGTCTGCGACTATTTCTCTGAAAACACCACCGCCACCATTGGAACTCCACACGTCACGGAGATGAGTTTCGGTTATGTATCGGACTACTCTCCGAACCCACCGTGCACACCCAAATCCACCATCAACCCTCTTCTTTTTTCTTCTTTCCCACAGCTCCGCAAACTCTTGTTCTACAAATGCTTCACCGAGACAACCGTTACTTTCCCAGATTTCTCGACTCTCAGATCTTCTTTAGAAGAGCTGGTTTTCATTGGGAACCCATCTCTAGTTGGGTCCCTCCGCGGCAATATCAGTAATTTGACGGCTCTAAAAAGGTTAATTCTGACAGGAAACAATGTTTCTGGGGAAATCCCAGATGGGTTAGGTGATTTGGTCAACCTTGAACAGCTGTCTCTTTCAAGAAACAATTTCCATGGTGAGGTTACACTAAGTTTAGAGAAGTTGAAGAAATTGAAGATTCTTGATCTTAGCCAAAATGGGTTTGAAGGGAGTGCCCCAGAACCCCTTGGAAGCTTACAACAGCTCTTGAAGCTTGACCTAAGCTTCAACAACTTTTCAGGGAAAATCCCAGAAAATTTAAAGGGTTTGAAGAAACTGGAGTTTCTAGATTTGAGTTACAATGGCTTTGCGCAATGCGGAGTGCCTTTATTTTTAGCAGAGATGCCCAGTTTGAGAGAAGTGTATTTGAGTGGCAATTTATTGGGAGGGCAGATTCCGGAAATTTGGGACAACCTCGGGGGTATTCTGGGAATTGGCTTGTCTGAGGTGGGACTTGTTGGCAATATTCCTTCTTCAATGGGGATGTTTCTGAGAAACCTTAGTTATTTGGGGCTTGACAATAACAAGCTGGAGGGGATGGTACCTGAGGAGTTTGGGGCATTGGAGTCTGTGAATGAGTTGAATTTGGAGAACAACAATTTGAGTGGGAGAGTCCCATTTTCTGCCAAGTTTGTCTCCAAAGTTGGAGGAAAGTTAAAGTTGGAGGGTAACCCAGAACTTTGTGCTGATGAAGGGTTAAGGTCTGCTAAAGTTAGTGGCAGTTTGGGGCAATTGAAGTTGTGCAACAAACCAGTTATTCCCCATTTTGTCCTACTTAGTAGTGGTTCCTCAGTTCTACATGACTCTTATATGCTGATTTTTGTTGGGTTTTTGTTTCTTTTATCTTAAGGTGCACAAATTAGAAGGTCATTAGGAGAGAGATTAGGTTGAGAGAAACACATTATACTGCTGACCTATTAGATAGTATCTTTGGACTTGTAGTCTATGTAGGTGCAATGGAACATATGTCATTACAGTTTCCTTCGATGACAAGTGCATATAGTTGATGCTAACTTCATTGTCATGGTTTTTTTTTTAAAGAAGTTTTATTGGTTTTAGTGCATATATTATGATGCCCAATTGTTAGAGCGAGAGTGCTTCATCATGGTCTAAAAGATGCAGAAAGTGTTCTACTCCTATTCTTTCATTTTATTTATTTTGCCACAAGAAAACAAAATGCTTACATAATTCGGGGTGCGTGGGGAGGAAATCGAACTTGCATATTGTACAATGTAGGTACGGTGTTTCACATAATGGCAAGTATAGCCATTTGCAAGATTGGTACTCAAATAAGGGAGTTGAGAATAGAGCAAATGGTCATGTCAATTGCATATGAAGTGGCATTCATTTTAGTAATTACAATGCATCTTTGGTAGATTATATAAAATTTCACGAAAACAAAGGAAATATATATATTTTTGTTCCAACTAAACAAGTCTCTATCTAGCTATCAATGTTACTAGGACAAATAGACACTACTAAGAGTATTTCAAGAAATCCCACTACTTGCCTTCTCTGGATCCTCTTGTCTCATCGCTATTAGATCTTACTATAGTTCCAATTTCAGGTCCAGGATCTGACAATTGAGATGTATAAGTACAAGATGTGGTGCCTTTGGACCTTCTTGATCTCGATGACCCACCACTGTTAGATTCCTTGGACTTCTTTCGTCGTGACTTTTTTGGAATGTCCGGCAAGTGTCTCGATGGTGATTCGGGTTCAAGGTTCGCCTCAAGGGGTACCCCTGTTGTTTTAATGGTCTCCGATGAGTCCGTTGATTGGTGTCGCCGTGACTGCCTTGATTTGGTGGATGAGGATTCAGTAGTTGATGAATTGTCTGTGGAAGAATGGCGTCTTGATGATTTTGGCAATTCTGGTAGGTCTCTGGCTGGAGAATTTTTAGTTCTTCTACCCCTTCTGCTAGAATCTGTGAATCATATGAAGAAGAAAATAGAAAAAAGAAGATAAGTATTTAGTGTACTATTCATTTTTTTTTTGCTACAGGGACAAAGGGGTGAACCATCCTAATGGACTCTCGTTAGAGATTGTGGTTTCCAACCGTATCCGTTATTTATTTCAGAAATAAAATTAATTAGACTAATATAACGGTCAACTACCGATATTTAATGTGGCCTCAAATACTTAAATCTCAAACTTCAGGATGAGAAGTTCAATTGGTATCCCATTGTACCACCCCCTTGGCGGTGTGTACTGTTGATTTGAACATTGATGTTGGGGTTTATTCTTTGAGTAAAATATACTTTTAGTCCCCAAAAATACATTTAGTGTCTATTTGGTCCGTATTCTTTCAATTGTGTGTATTTGGTCCTTAAGATTCTTAATTTGTGTCTATGTGGTTTAATCTCAAATATCTGTTAGAAAATTGTGGCAGTCTTGATCACGCGCTAATCACGTGATTCTTAATTTTGTGTATATTTGATCCTTAAAGTTCATAATTTGTGTATATTTGATCTCACATGATTGACGCGTAACCAGAGAAGTTAACGATTTTTTTACGGCCGTTTGAAATTGGACCCCATAAATATAAATTAAAAATCTTAGGGATTAAATAAATAAAATTAAAAAATTGGGAACCAAATTGATACTACACACATACTTTGGGGACAAACTATATTTTACCCATATTCTTTTGGAGATTTTGCAATCAATGGAAGAGAAAATGCAAACAGACCTTCAGAAACCCATTTGATTTCCGGGTTTCCTTGAGAATCTGTAGGGGCACCTAATGGTGCTGATTGAGATCCTGCTGGTGATTTGAACTCCTGCATCTGCACAAGTTGAAACACGATCCATATAAGTCCCGAGTTTCTAATTCAAAAATTAAATTATGATTTATTTTTGTTCGGTCAATTTCATATTGCCGCATTCGAATTAATAGTCAACTTTAACCCGATTTTTTCAATTACTTGTGTTTAACGTCTTCATATTTACATGACGTCCGTGAACAAATAATCCATGATTCAAAACATAACCCTTCGTTCTAAACCAGATCATAAATAGTATGATCATCTCACTGGAGGAGCCTACTCTTACGCCATTGTACAGTCAAACCCAAGGGAAACTGTTCTTAAGCCTAAGCAAAATCTCAAGGAAAAAAAAAAAATTTTGAATTACCCAGCTTGGTGAATCTACGGATGGTCCGTCCCGTCCAATGTGAGCCACGTGCTTCACATCCGTGGGGTGCCCAATCTGCATTTCTGGTTCCTTTTCTTCCTCTGTGTCAAAAAAAGTTTACAATTCGCTTAATTTATCGATCCAATCCCTTTTTATCTCAATTTAATCGTATTAGATTACTATCATGATTTTAAATGGGTGTTGGTCTCTTATTGATATATGATAAATGATCTATACTAATTTTAAAAAAATATATATATATATATATATATATATATATATATATATATATATATATATATATATATATATCAAAAGAAATCTAGATCTAATGCTTTAAATAAGGACATTGAAAACTTCAAGTTATTACTCATCTCCTCTTTGCTGATGATATTATCCTCTTCTCTAGGGCCTTTGAAAGGGATTGTGACATGGTTAAAGAGGTATTGAATAATTTCTGCTCTATCACAGGTCAAAAAATAAGCATGTCCAAATCCAGAGTCTACTTTTTCCCTAATATTAGTAGGAGTCATGCTTTGCACCTAGGGAGAAAAAGTGGTATCACATGCACAGATGACATAGGGAAGTATTTAGGTATCCCCATCATTCATAAGAGAGTAAGTAAGGAACATTCTAATTCAGTGATCGAAAATATCCAAAAGAAATAGAGTGGATGAAAAAGAAGAAACCTCTCTTTTGCAGGTAGAAACACTCTTGTGCAAGCTGTTACCTCTACAATCCCTAACTACATTATGCAAACCTCCTGGCTACCTCAGTCCACCTGTGAGAAAGTTGATAGACTTAATAGAAATTTCCTTTGGGGAGATTCAGAGGAGAGGAAAAAGGTTCACTTAATAAATTAGGATACTGTCTGTTCTCCTAAGGAGATTGGGGGATTAGGATTGAGAAAATGTAGAGATAACAACTTAGCTGTTCTATCTAAACTGGGTTGGAAATTACATTCTGAGAGTAAGTCCCTTTGGGTGGAAGTGGTCAAAAATAAGTACACGAACCCATCCCTAAATGATTGGCCACGTAAGCCTAATTCATCCATAATATGGAGAGCCTTGTTGAAAACCAATCAAATTGTGAAAGATAATACAAAATGGCTTATTGGTAATGGTTCAAAAGTGTCTTTATGGAATGACTGGTGGACAGTTGATAGTCCACTCCAAAGAAGGATGCAGGTTCCATCCTCGGCTAACCGGAACAGCACAGTGACTGAGATTATAAGTCCCATGGGTAACTGGAACATTCAAAAAGTTGGTATGTACCTTCCCCCCTCTTTAATCTCTGATCTCTTGCACACACCACTACCTTTGGAAGGCTCCCATCATGACTCACCATCTTGGGGTCTCACAAGTAATGGAAAATTTTCCATTAAATCTACCTATAATTAGATTTCTAATCCTATTCCAAGGCAGCACTGTGACTTTGAACTGGAATTGAATTTGGAAACTAAGGGTCCCTCAGAAACTTAAACGTTTTCTTTGGTTGGTCCAAAGTGACAAACTCCTTTCAAACGCCTCGAGGTTCACAAGAAATCTCACAAATGATCCTTCTTGTGAAAGGTGCAAGGCCTAGTACGAAAGTACTATCCACATCTTAAGAGACTGTCCGAAAGCTAATCTGGTTTGGAGATCATTTTTAAATAGGAATGATCTCCAACTAGATCAATCTATGGACCTCCAAAGTTGGCTCATTAAGAACTATAATGCTAGAAAGGACATTTTTTGGAGAGGTGTGAAATGACCTATCCTCTTTGTATCTTTGATATGGAACATCTAGAAAGATAGGAATCAAGAATGTTTGGGAAATATAATCAACCCTCCCCCTTTTATTACTAAAAAAGTTTGGAGATTGCCATGGAACTCATGGAATGCTTTCAATGAACCCCACTCACAGGTGACTCCTAACCCCCCCCCCCCCCCCAACTAATTGGTTGGTCTTTCCCTCCTACAGGATGGTTGAAAATGAATGTAGATGGTAGCTCTAAAAGGAACCCTGGCTCAGCTGCATTTGGAGGACTGTTAAGGAATGATCAGGGAAGGTGGCAGATAGGTTTCTATGGGAAGCTAAAGGATTCCAATTGCCTACAAACAGAACTGTGGGCAATCTATCAAGGCCTCAAGATTATACAAACTCAAAACCTAAAGAATGTGATCATGGAAACAGACTCCTTGGATGCCCTCAACCTAATCTCTGCTAGGTTGGAGGAACTCCACCCCAAAAGGAATATCATTGCAAATTACAAATTGCAAACATATAATGAGATTGACTAACACTCTCATCATTCATACACTGAAGGAAGAAAATTTCTGCACTGACAAAATAGCAAGCTTGGGAGAGCTGCAACAGGATTCTTTTGTTCTTTTTGATGTCCCATCGCCTGTGTTGGGACAATTTCTTTTGAACGACCTGTCATGTGTATCTTTTGCTAGAAGGTTTAAATAACCCTGTTTCTTTTCATATGTACCAAAAAAAATAAATTTAAAAAACATTTTTACAAGAAAAAAAAATTATGTCTCATATCGACACAGTTGAACAATTAAAAGAGATTTACTCACCAAAGATTTGAGATATGTATCTTAAACCTTTTAAGATGCCCTTCATCCTTGTGCCCATCTTTTGTGATTAATATATTTTCTCTATGTTATAAGTTTTTCGTACAATTGCTGATATTTGATATTCAGATCTGAAACAAACCATAAACAATGAAGATTAACCATTTTTTCTTCCCTTCAGGCAATAAACATGCATGAAAAATATTTACTCAAAAAAAAAAAGAAACTTGTATGAAAAATGAAATCAAACCTTTTGCAGAAAAATCAACGCAACGACATGCATTCATAGACCATGTTGTTCGATATTCAAATACTGTGACTTAAGCATCACGAGTTAGTTGTGTTTGAATTTGGAGGGTGTAGAGAAATCTTCTTTAAGATTGGATATAACTATTTAGTTTGTTCCTCCTGAGTATTGTAAGAGGCAATCTCAACGACGAGGGAAAAAAAGGAGGCACTAACCCCAAGCAAAATGGTGTTTAAAGCCAATCTTCTCAAATAGATTCAATGGCAGTGGATTGTTTGTTCTTAACACCCACTAATCCAAACCAGACGCGGATCGAAAATTTAGGTGTGAAAATAAAATTAGTTTTTTATTAATTAATAAAACAAATATACTAATTATAGGAAAATTTAACCAAGTGTTGTCAAAATGATCGAAGGGCTGCTCAATAAGAAAGCGGATTATCTGACACAAGGATAATCATATCCGACCACAACGACCGTTAAGGGTCTAGTAGAAAATCTTTATCATCACAAACCTCCCCTTTTTTTTTTTGCAATTTATAGAATATTATATGATTTGTTTTAAATAAATAAAAAGAGATACAATACAAAGGTGGCCCAATATAAATTGGAGCCTAAAACGAGAAAATATTTTTCAAAAATTTATTATATGATTTATTTTTAAAATTTTAGTGGTTTTGAGATTGAACATGATCAAACAATAAATAAGGTGTAATTGTGAAATCAAGTTCTTATAGATGAATAAATTAAATAGAATAAATTCTATAATATAAAACAGAATAAATTTCAATAAACTCATTCGATGGTCTAAAAAAATAAACTTATCCAACGGTCACTAACGTCCTTTTCAAAATTATTCAAATTGTATTGTGCACGGATTACCCCTAGTTCAATATATTTGACCCTCGATAGACCCCCAATCAAGCAATAGACTTCCCTTGCTCATATTTAACACAACAGATTTGATGCATATATAGTCTAATAATAAGAAAACATTACAAGCCAGAATATAATTTTGCATTGTTTCTCATTTGAGTGTGACCGGAACTCAAAAAGTCAAGAACCACAGAGGAGGAAACGAAGAACTGCAAATTTTAACTTCAGCAGCCCATTATGATGCTTTCAGGTCATCCAGTCCAACGCTAGCCTGCAGAAGAAGATCACACATTTAATTGATTCAACTGTTTTCTTCATAGATTAATTTCAAGGGGAAAGAGAAAAATAAAAAGAAAGGATTAGTTCTGCACTTTAGTAAGCAGTATTTAACAAAACTTGGAAACTTTGTAGTGAAGTAATTGGGACCCCTCGATAAGAGATGTTACCAAGAATTTGTGGTTTTCTTCAAGATGCGGAGAGAAGTTTGTGCAGAACTTCTCAATATCACAATGGATATCACCTGTACCCTCTATGACATCCATGAACTTCTTCCTATCTGGAGCAAGCTTCATGGCAACCTGTAATTTCAATTTGGAATAAATAAAAGTTGTTTACGAGGCTAAAAGTTAGAGCTGATTCAAAACATTATGATCAAATAGTAGCAAATAAGTTACAAGAGGTATCAGGTTCATGTCCAAAAGAGTGCAAAATAAAAGTAAATTTAAAGGGGCATATTTCTACACGTGAAAGATATTCCCCTAGCTTATATCATGCGGGCACCCTTGAGTTTGCCTTTTATTTTGCCACATTTCAGATCACCAACCACTCTAGTCTAAAGCAACACCATTATCAATTTTTAACCTTGGAGAGTCAAATAACTCATCAGTGACGACCCCATTTTGGAGTTGCTAATTGCTTTTTGCTATATCTATTTTCATTGACAAAAGTATTGGTTCTCTCAATATCATATTGAAGGATGATACCCTCAAAACCAGCAGTCTTCTGTAGCATGTAAGTAGTTCAAGAAAATGGCCACTAGAGCAAGTAGTATCCCTTGGTAAAATGGTTATAACAACCATGATTAGGCACACTCTAGCAAATCCAAAAGATCTAGATCAACACATTAGAATATGCGAGGCCAATAAATGCTAAGTAGATAAAGTAAATTTAAACTACAGCTCCTTATTGAGATTAGCTCCAAAAATAAATGAAATCCACCTAATATCCCCATAGGAAGAAAATATGCCACCAAGAATATTTGTCATAATTCTGATTAATAGCCTTTCGGGTTGTTGGACTAGTAGAGAAGTGCCGATAGAAATTCCCACACTTCTTTGTCCAGAATCATCCAATCATAATCTGTTTGCAATCAGATTGCATCACAGAACTGGGTGCACATGAAAATGAGAAGTGAGCAATAAAACAGAGAGAGACTTTCTATGTACCTCCTTAGGAGTAAAAGGAAGAAGGGTGATAACCATCATTAAAAATTTGGATTCTATTGTTGAAATTAGGGCTTACCGTAAAACTTGAACTGGCTAGCCAGCCGTGCCATTTTTTCAGTGTCTTGGTGTAAGAATCAGTGCAAGCTTGTGACATGGTCCATTCTGAATGCTCCAGCAAGTTCCTGAACAATCCTACCAAGAAATCCATTGCCCTGGAAAAGTGATTCCCAGGATTTCTTAGCATACTAAGGCTGTCCCAATTGTCATAAGAGTGAGCACAAGCATACATACACTCACATATGCAAGTTACTGTTAATCTAAGTAGGTATGTGGGACTACATATGCAAGTTACTGTTAATCTAAGTAGGTAAGTGGGACTGAGCATGAAAAAAGCAGACCAGAAAAACGCATAAACGCTCTCCGATAAAATGAAAGCAGTGAATTATTGCTCACCTTGTTAACCAAAGAAGACCATTGGTACAACTGGACGAAGCTTTTGCTGTCTTAGCTTCAACTTCTTCTTGTACCATACTATACAAGTGGTGGAATTTTGATGGATCAGACAAATATTTGTTTTCCAACCTCTGCATGAGATATATATATGTACCACTCAGATGAAATTATATATCAAAATTTAACACAAGTGAGATCATGTCAACCTGCTCAGGAATGCTACTAACCTAGATCCGAAACTAGACTTAAATGATCTTGCTAAGCAGATGGATACAGTCCAAACAGCACTGACTTAAGGTGGCAGGTTAAAAATCCCAGCCCAAATACCAACCCACTAATAAATAGATTGGGGTCAAGTATTGGCGAAATTCTTACCAGACCAGTATAATTCAGGTAGGTTTAAGGGTCTGAATGGTATATTGGCATAACAGATTTCCCCCTTGCCAACCAAAACAAAAACAACTCTCATTCAACAAAAAAAATGACCAAGGATAAAGCAGATGCAGGAATAAGGACAACAAAAGAAGGCATTGTTGACACAATATTTGGGGCCTAAGTAACTTTGTTACTTGATTCATTTCCATGTATATAAATATGTGGACAGCAAAATTTCTTTATAGAGGGGAAAAAGGAAGGAAAGAAGAAGTTTTTTTAAGGCAAGGGAAAATATCTACAATGAAGAAACATGAAAATTAAAATGTTTTACCGTTATATTACCACCAACATCAGATTTTACCAGCACCATGGCAGCTCCAAACTTGTCTGCAGCATATATACAATACTTCAATGCCAAACAACGTTTTAACCTCTTCTACCAAACAATGCAGCACCTCAAAAATCATGCCTATCATTTTCTTAAATCATACCAAGCCCAGTTGAATTTTATCTAGTTAATGCTATAAATCAAAGAGAATCACAAAAATAAACGTGACCACGTAGAAATTCACATAAGTATTAATGTGCAACTCAATAGAAAACAGGGAGGGGCAGCTTTCACAGCCCATCAATCTGACACCAATGGTCAAAAACATTTGATCCCTGGTGAGAGGTGGTTAAATCTTTTTGGTAGTGGAAATAGCACTCTGCTAAATCATGCAAGTTGAAGATTTGTAACTGTGAAGCATTACCACGGAATATGACACCTAAATTCAAAGCAGTCTCCTGCTAAAACTTCAAGTCAATATTCATACCTATGACAGGTAAAATGAGCTTGCAAACATCCAAGAAAGGCTTGGTAAGCATTTCTCCCTCTTCAGACTTGACATTCCCCATCCCTTCCAAAGCAGGAGTGAACACTGTCCCTTCCATTCTTGTGCTTCACTGCACTAATGTTTAATAGATATCAAACCTAACTCTTGATAAAATGAATTCGGAAACAAAGGAAATGTTTTTTCTTCAATGTCATTTATCAAGTATAAAAATCTAAACAGTTAACAGAAGTAAGAATTATCCTCCTGTTCAACACATGGTATTACAAAAGTTTGCTAATTACATCGGGCATATTATACTATCTTCCACTATATCCTAATCTTCTCTTAGCTTCCAAAGAAAATGCAGGAAAGCAACTGTTCACTTCCTAGATCTAAGTAAACGCAAAAGAACTCCAGTCAATATAAACCTACTTTTGGTACCGTCAATTAAGTCGAATAGATCGTCATCGTCGTTCACGTACAAATCACGGCATCGAAGTGAAATTCAAGAATTATAATGAAACTTGAATTAATTCAATAAAATTGAAACATAATGCTCCGAAGTACTTTACTTCCCTTTCCATTTTTCCTCAACTTTCTTGCGAACCAAACAGAGATAAAAAATCAACTAGCTCATCATCGTTTTCGTTGAGTACGCGTAAAATCATGGCATCGAAGTGAATTCAAGAATTATAAAGAAACTTAAATCAATTCAATAAAAGTACCGCAAGGCTAAGTCAAATCGATATCCATACATGAAGATCGTGGACACAGTCTTAGATAGCAGATGCTGATCGATCTAAACAGGAACTGTTGAGTGATACTATGTAACTGTATTTACGCATTTATAATGCACAAGTCAAAGAGAATTGGATTAAGAAGAAGCAGAATAGATCAGACAGGTGGAATCACCTCTTTTTCGCGCTTTGCTCCTCCTTTTGCTTTTGAAGAACGCTAAACTGAAACAGACAAAGAAGAAAGAGAGAGTTCTTCCACGCAAATAAATACTAGGGCATATACCATTTTTATCGGTACTTTATTGATACATGGAAAAGATTTAGGCAGAATTACAGACCCTATGAGTTTTGTCATTTTAATCACGCAGGTCCCTGATCTGTTTAAAATATTATACACAGGCCTTTAAAATTTGTATGTGTGACACTTAGACCTTTGATAAAAATATATCTATTAATAAATTATATTTAAATTTCTTAAAATTTATAAATATATAATATTTAGATCCTTTAAATTCAAAATATTATATTTAGACAAAAAATATTCAAATCAAAGATAAAATAATAAATATTTTAAATTTTACAACCAAAATTCACGTTCTAGCGTCTCATTTATTAAAATAAAATTAAAATTTTAATTTTAATTTTTTCTTAAAAAATTGTAATTACTACACAATTATATTATTTATTGAAAAAAAAGTAAAAAAATCAAGCAAAGGGTCTAAGTCATTCATAATAGAATATAAACTATTTTATTAAGATGAAATAAAATAAAAAAATCTAGTTCTTTTTTTAAAAAAAAAATCATAGTTAGTATAGAATTATACTATCTATTAGAATAAAACTAAAAAATTCAACAAGAGGTCAATTGTAATGAACACAATATCTTTTAGCGTTAATTGAGATAGTTTGGTATTTTAATTTGGTCGTTTAAATGACCAAATTAAATTCCAATAGACAATATAATTGTATACTAATTACGATTTTAAGAAAAAAAATAAATTTTTATTTTTGATTTTATTTCAATAAATGATACAACAGAACATGAATTTTAATTGTAAAAATCAAAACATTAGATATTTTATTTTTAATTGAAGTATTTTTGGTCTAAGTATAACATTTTAAACTTAAGGGATCTAAGTAATATATGTTTATAAATTTCAAGGAGTTTGAGCGTAATTTATTAACAGATATATTTATAGCAGAGTTCTAAGTGTTACGCGCTTATAAACTTCAGGAGGTCTGTGTGTAATATTTCAAATATCAGGGTCTGACTGATTAAGCGACAAACCTTAAGAAATTTGGGTGTAATTCTCTCAAAGATTTATTTTAGAATCTGAAAAAAAATGTATATAATAAAGTATAATACAATTTAAATTTTAAAAAATAAATAAAATAATTTTTACTTTTCACGGTTGAGATCTCTTTAAATTTTATTTTAAAATTAATCTAACGACTAATATTAACACCTCAAATTTAATAGAAAAAATAGGCCTTAAAGCATATTTTTGAGATAATTTTTTAAAAGTAGTGTTTGCAACCACTCTACCACCACCACTACCACCCCAACCCCCACCTCCATTACCACCATCATCGCTGTCACTTCACCATAACAACTACCACCACTACCTCCCCACTACTATCATCACCTCTACCACAACAGCTACTATCACCTCTGCCACAACAACTGCCACCACCACCGTCGTCACCACCATCACCATCACCACTATCACAACTATTACCACTACCATCACCACTACTACCACCACTATTGTCACCCCACCACTACTATTGTTGTCGCCACCTTACCACAACCACCATCACCCCCACCATTCCACTACTCTACCATCACTTATTGTCACAACAATCACCATCACCTCCACCACCCCACTACCACCACTATTGTCGCCACCCCCACCACCACTACCATCCACTGCCGCACCATCATCATCGCCACTATTACCACCCCCATCACCACCACCGCCACTGTCTCACCATCACCCCTACCACCACTCTCCTCACACCCATCATCGTTGCTGCCACCACCACCACCATCATCATCACTCCAACACCACCACAACCATAACCACTGCTATTGCCCCACCTTTACCCCCACTGCACCCTTACCAACACCACCATCACCATCACCATCGCGACCCACCACTGATTGCTACCACCGTCGTCCATCGCCACCACTTATCACCATCACCGTCGTCGTTTCATTTTATGTTTATTATCACTACCATCATCATCTTACTACCATCGTCAGCACCCACCACCACCACCCACCGCCACCCACTACCATAACCTACCACCACCTGTCATTGCCCACCACTGCCACCACCTACTGTCACCCAACCCCACCACACTACCACAACCTATCACCATCTGTCGTCGCCTACCACTACTGTCATTCATCATCACTCATCACACTGTTACCTAGAAGCACCCGTCGTCGTCTAATACCACTATCGTCACTGCCGACCACCGTCATCGCCCTACCACCACAATTGTCAACCACCATTACCGTCACCTATGGCTGCTGCTACTATCATTGTCACCCAAAACCCACCACCACCATCACTGTTGCAACCTACGGCTGTCACCACCACCACTGCAGCCCATCACCACTACCACAACTCACCCCCCACTACAACCGGTACTAAAATTTATTTCTCTCTTTTATGTTTGTAATTTAATTATGGGTGTGAATACAAATATATTTTTTGTTGATTATTATTTTTATTACTCTGTTACTTCAGGCACAAGAAATAAATAGTAAATAAATAAATTACATGAAGATTTATTTTCATCTGTTCATAGGGCTTAGTCCACTAACTATATATATAAACAAATATAACTTGCAATATTTATAAGCATTTCAACCAAACTTTTTGTTTGCGAAGGCTGAAGGAAAATGCATTCTAGAGTCAACAAGTTTTCTCCTAGTGCGAAAATAAAAAAAATATCCCTTTTATTCTTTTAAAACAAAAAAGGGTAACTTTGTGTCCACCAAAAAAATTATCAAATTTTATATCTCAAATGACGTAATTAGTAAAAGTTTATGGAACCTACTGATCCAATGATTAACATTGCTTTGGGATAAAAAAATTTAGTAAATATTTCGTTGGATTTAACATTATTGAACAAAAATTACATCAATTGATAACTTATTTTCCTTAATTATCATTACCATCTTGCCTATCGTTGCCACCACCATCACAAATAAATATTGGGTATATCGATGATATCATGTTATTATTGACATATAGTATTACTGATCAATATTAAAATATAAAGTAAAATTATTAATTACACTATTTCAATAGAAAAAAATACTATTGAGATCTAATTTGAAAACCTAATCAATTACTTGTTATTTTGAAAGTAGGCTCCATTTAACCTTGCAATTCATAACTAATTTAATGACTACAATGAATTAGGTCCTTATAGTATATCTCATTTCAACAAGCTAGTTATTAGATGTGGTGGTTATCGATAGTCAATAAAAAAATAAGACTTACTAAATTCACATGATATCCTATAACTAACTAGTGAAATCAGGTAATGTTGATGATATTTTCTCCCACAATCACAATTAAAGACGGAGGGAGAGTTACCAACCATTGCCATTATTTTTCTTCTACCTATTAGATATTTTTTATTACCTATTATGATTGATCAATTCTTGTTGAACTTACAATCCACATAACAGGTCAAATCGGAAAGCTTCATCTTTTAGAAAGAAAAGGACTATAATGATAAATTCATGGTGTAAGCTAATAATAACAAGCAATTTAAGTATCAAGATGAACTTCACTATTGACGGACTACTATCCCGGTTACCAAATCAGACTGTTTTTAAGACTGTCACTTTTGTTTTAATATTTCAAAGCTTTTATATGTAGACCACTGTCGAAAGTCAAGCTAACTGTACATTGTTCATACTCCACATTGACATTTTGTATTATGCATAAAATGTGGGGCTCCTAATTCTCATTACTTATATATTTCTGGCTTTTACTTTGGTTGATGTTTGAACGGAGGAAGTGGATCGAGGCAATCTGATGTGTTCTGGGTAGTTTATTAATTAATGTTATCTCATATTCATTATGATCTATTTACTTATCTAGTCATTATGGGAAAGGTGAATTGGAGTTATGCGAAATGATTTGGTCGCAAATTTTGTATAATCCTTTGGGGGTAGCCTGTCAATGTTGTGCAATACATTACTGCGGTATGATGTGATATGAATTCATTTATTCATCGCTTATGGTGTTTACTGTTTAGTGACTTGTAGATGGTTACAAAAAAAAAACATTTAAGTTCGTTCTATAGTTTGCCTTTTGCTATTGATAGGCCCTTGTTGATACACCTGACATGGTGAGAAGCCAAATGAATTTTAAGAGGCTTTCACTTACACACATCAAAAGGGTTCCACAGAAGAAGACTCTATTGCAGCCATGGAGGCTGCAGGTGAGAGCCAAGTTGTTGAACTTTCATTATCCTGTGTTGTATGCAGTTTGAAAGTGAATTGTTATACCTTGATTTGATGGGATGATGGCAGATGTCAAAAACCAATGGGAGACCAGTTCCGGGGGCAGGAAGTTCATGGTGCAGAAGAGAAGGGCCTCACTGACTGATTTTGATAGGTTCAAGCTTATGTTGGCAAAAATCAAGGTTTGCTGTTATTCCAAGCGTGAAGCCTTTCTTTTATTTGTGTTGCTTTCTGATCCTGAAAACTAGATTGCTCTGAATGAAACCTCTTATAGTTGGGGCCATGCTAAATGCCACAATGTCTAAGCTAACCGCCATATCACCAGTCTATATGTTTGATTGTAATTTATCATTGCTTGAGAGTGGCTACTTCTTTACTCAGCATATTAAAAGAACTGTAATAGACAGACCATAGTGTTCATTCCAGCCATACACCAGTATGTCATGTCAATATAATTACACAATCTTTTTGACCTAGTCCTAGACAGTAACATAACAGTGTAACTCAAGTCTCTTGCCGGCAATGATGTGGAAACCATTTGTCGGAGAGCTTCTGAGGAACCTGTAGACTTGTTGGAGAGCGTCCGTCACCATGCTCAAAAAAGTTCCACTCAATTTTACAAGTAGTGGGTCTCAAGTTATTGGATTCATCACATCACGGAAACATAGAAAGATCAATCATATTTCAGATTTGACTCTAACCACTGAGAATTGTGCTCCATTCGGTTGCAGCCATCATACTATAGCGAAATCCCTTTGTTTATCCGAGTGGTGGGTTACAACAGCCGTGATAATTTACTCTCCCCTCC